CAGCCAATATCATAATGCCCCTATATAAATCAATGGTGCGACCTCATTTGGAATACTGTGTACAGTTCTGGTCACCACACTTTAAAAAGGATATTATAGCTTTGGAGAAAGTGCAGAAAAGGGCAACTCGAATGATAAAAGGGTTGGAACGCTTTCCCTATGAGGAAAGCTTGGAGAAATGACGACTGAGGGGTGACATGATTGAGGTTTATAAGATTATGCATGGGAAAGAGCAGGTAGAGAAAGAGGTACTTTTCTCCCTTTCTCACAATACAAGAACCCGTGGGCACTCCATGAAATTGCTGAGCGGTCGGGTTAGAACGGATAAAAGGAAGTACTTCTTCACCCAAAGAGTGATTAACACTTGGAATTCACTGCCACAGGAAGTGGTTGCGGCTACAAGCATGGATGGCTTCAAGAAGGAATTAGATAAGCATACGGAGCAGAAGTACATCAGTGGCTATTAGCCACAAGGTATAGATAGTGACTCCAGGGCAAGTGATGCTCTGTATTTTTGGTGCTTGGGGGAGGGGTCAATAGTGTGAGGGCTCCTAGTGTCCTGACCCCACTGCTGGACCTCCTGATATCACCTGGTATTTTTGGCCACTGTGTGACAGAGTGTTGGACTGGGTGGGCCATTGGCCTGATCCAACATTGGCTTCTCTTATGTTCTTATGACTTGGGCCTCCATTGATAAGGAGGCAACCAAAGTCAAGCCCAGACTCTTGACTCCAGATTTCCTGATATTGTTCTCAACACGATTGTCATGATCTGGGCTGTGCAAGCAATGGCCTAGCAGGCCCAGGGAGCCTGTCTAGCAGTGGGAGGAGGCCAGGCCTACAACTTCCAGAAACCTCTGAGAGGTTTTGGCGCTAATTTTAGCCAATCACAGAGAAAGGGGCCTTGTAATAAAAGAGCTGGTACAGAAGAAGAGCTTTTTTTTCTTCCAAGAGAGGAGGGCCAGAGGGAAGGCTGCTGCTGGGAGAGGCCCTCACCCTGAAAGGAAGGGTGAGTAACTCAGGCCCAACTGAGACAGTGAACTAGGAACTGTGAGTCTAGTCGTGTTAGGGCATTTGGTTTCTTTTCCCTTCACCCACTTATTGTTATTGTTCTTGCACCTTGTTTGTTTCCCATATTGGGCTGACCTCCTGTAAAAATAAACCTTTTATTTGCTGTTTACTCTGCCTGGTTCTCACACCTATTATTCAACCAAATAAGGGAGGTCTGAAGGTCTTGGGAGGGTGCTCTGGGCCTTCTCAAGGGATCTTAAACCCAGAGTGGTGGCTGCGTCAGGTGACACCCCACCTGAGCCATGACAATGATACATAATGACTGGTTAAGGATTATTTAATCCAAAATTAGGCTTCATGGGAGCCGAGATGTGGCACATTTAAAGCCTAATCCTGATTCAGCAGCATTGGCCAACAAATTTATCTGGGTCGTGGCACTAGTATTTTGTTGAATTTATAAGTCTATCTCCTGAATAGCACAGATGGCAATATATCTCTCTGGTGATCACATTAAATAACAGCAGCCAACTATTAACGAAAACATAGAAGTGGATAAAATGTAAATGTAGCATACTGGGTTTTTTCACTCCCTACCCCTCTTCTCAGTAACATAAATCACCTAACCAAAACCCACCCCACTATTCAGGTAATCCCTTTACTTTTCTGTTGCTTGCCCCAGAACTGCACCAACTTTCATACTATGGCACACTGTCAACTTGCTACTCTTCCTTTCCCTTTCCACAAACATAATCTCAGTTATACATCCTGTTGCTTTATACAAACTTATATCAAGATTCAGCCATCTTCTCAGAAAGGACACTATCGTTCCCACCTATCCCTATTTATTTATCTGTGTGAGTTCACAAAGACATACTCATCATTTATTTATCGCAGCAATGACCAGCTAGCATGTTTGAAAAAGCTATTACAGATTGATCACCAGGGACAGAACATTCCTGTCACCCAGTACAACTCTTCAATGAAGAAACACACTTGGTTGAGACTCATAATGCTAAAATAATGATGTGATATACGTACATATCACTGATTCTGTTTTATACGGATTACTTTTTCTCCCCCAAATGTAAACATTTCTGCCCCAATGCTAGCAAGTGATCAATCTGAAATAGTCATACTTTATTTATTTAGAATAAATTTGCATATGCAGATGAGCCATGATGGGTTTTTTCCCTCTCTTTAAAAGGTTATGTGACACACTGGTATTTTTAGGTAATACATAGTTTCACTTAACAATGTTGGGTAGCAGATGGGGGGGGGCAGAGCACCACGCAAGATGGCAGACGTGATCTAAAAGTGCTCCCAGCCGGAATCTCCCAAAATCAACAGCAAATCGCAATATCCCTTACTCAAAATGACTAAAAGTTATGGGAAAGCCCTCTAAAGGAAAGACAGCAAAAAACTCTCAGCAGACTGCAATGGTAAGAACATACTTTACTCGAGACGTGGCTACCAATACTCGAGACACAGCAACCATCTCAATAGGCCCTCAGAAAGACGGAGCCAGTAAAATGGTGGTGGGAAGCTCAGCTACGACTACAATTACCCAGACAGAGGAAAACAAATCGATTACGAGGAAAGACCTCCATGAATTAAAAGATGACTTTCTGAAATCACTTGCATCGCTAGTTACAGAGATCATCCAGCCACTCCAATCCCAATTGAACGACCTAGTACAGGATTTGAATGACACAGCTAAAATAGCTGAAAACAATGCACAACTGACTCTGACTTTGCAAGAGGAATTGAAGGCCGCCCAAGCCTCAGAAAAACAAACAAACACTCGGCTTTCATCCCTGGAACATCGATGGAGGCAGATGAACTTAAAATTGAGAGGGGTCAAGGAGGGCGCGGAGGAGGGGAAAGACCCTGCACATTTTATCTCATCCTGGCTGGTGGCAGTTCTGGATATGGAAGAAGGTAAGGCCCCAATCATTTTAAAAGCCTATCGTTTAGGCCCATTAGCTACTGCAAGAAAGGGCCGCCCAAGATATATTATGGCGCAATTCCTATATCCCAAAACACGCGACAAAATTCTTAGAGGGGCCAGAATTCATGGATCCCTGCTCTATAAAGAGGATAAAATACAAGTACTACTTGATTTGTCCGTGGAAACGTTAGATAAAAGAAGAAATCTGAAACTTTTTGCCACCAAACTGTTTAAAGCAAATATAAGATTTCATTGGAGCCCTGCGTCTGACATTCAGGTTTACAGAAATGGCATACTACATCAAGCAACAGATGCAATTTCTGGAAAAGCCCTTTCATCCGCCCTGGGATTGCATCTCACTCCAGAAGAAGAACAAACTGTTTTGACCTTATGAAATTAATTTTATAACCTACAGATTTAAGTATATAGGAAATGTTAAATTGCTAAAGTTATATTATTATACTAATCTTTGCAACAGAAAATTTTATTAAAATAGTTACTTGCATATTCAGGATTCATATTGGTTATGAATATTTAGAAATTTGTTATTAACCTGTTCTAAGCTTTGACAATTTATAAAAAAGTGTGTGTGTGTGTGTGTGTGTGTGTGTGTGTGTGTATATATATATATATATA